CGGGGGGGGGGGGGGGGGGAGATGACCACAATCTTTGTGGTTCTTTGCCACTTTGCTTCACATTTTTCTGATTAAAAAAATAGTTGCAGAACGGATTGACCTTATTTACATTGAACCTTATGGGAAAATTTGACTTGGCTCACGACCAATTTGGGTCACGACCAGAGTCCTGGAATGGATTAAGTTCGTGAGCCAAGGTACCACTGTACAAGCTAAACTATGTGGATATTTTCAGGTTGGGTTCCACCAGTTTACCTTTGGCCCCACACAGCGCTGGGCTGTGGCCCCTGAGAGTGCCTCCAAAGATGTACTGAGCTAGCAGGTTGAAGGGAGTTCTGGATCATCCCTGCCCCTGCCCTGAATGAGGTGAAGAGCAGCCTGGGCTTCTCCATGCTGGGAAGGGACACCACTCCATGCCTTCTTCCAGCCCTGAAGGTGGGGAAAAGGAATTGGGGGGTGCCTTTTGCACATGCCACATGAAATCAGGGTTGTGGCCCCTTACCCTAACAAAATCTACCCCATCAGTCTGGGGCCATCTAGCCCCCACACCAGAACAGTTCTGCTTCACATGGATGGGCAGAAAGGAGCTCACGGTCTGTAGCTCATGTGCACCCTGCTGCCCTCCACTTGCTCCACACTTGCTCCACAAAGGAGAGTGTATTCTTGGTCCCCGTCTCCCAATAAGCCAGGAACCTGCTCAAGTGAAGCTGGATGCTGGTCTATTCCTCCTCCAGATTGTAGGAGCAGAGAAGGGGCAGGCACATCGCCAGAGAGGTCCACCTGGCGCTGTCATTCTCTGTTTTTTGGTGCCAGGTCAAGACCTTTTTATTTAATCAATATTGTAATATGTTTTAATACTGAGTTTTATTGTATTTTGTTAATTTGCAGCCAGAGTGGATTGTCAATTTATCTATGTTGTAAGCTGTCCAGAGACGCAAGTAATTGGACAGCATACAAATTTTATACATACATACATACATACATACATACATACATACATAAATAGCTAGCGTGGGCTCCCACCTGCTCCCGAATGCAGCGCTCAGTTGTCTGCACGGGGCCCCAAACTAAGATTCAGCCCATGTTCCATTGCTAGCAAATCAGTCTCTGTTTCTTCATTGCTCAGAAGCTCCAAAGTCAAATACAAGTACAACTGCACGGCAGCTTTTTGTGTTGTCACAGTTTCAAGTCCCCCTCCCCTGGTTTTGATTATTAACTCCTCCCAGGCCCCCACCAAAAGGGAGCAAGCAAGTGAAAAGAGAAGCTCACCCCGGCGTGCCAGCCAGGTTCCTGCTCTCCTGTGTGCACTGTGCTCGCGTGCAATGGATGAACTGGGCACCGAGTTACATCACAGCCTATGCGCCTGCCTTCACTGCCCTTTCATTCACAGAGTCACAGATTAACACTCCACTGACTCACTCATCTTCGTGTTCTTTCTTGCTTTTTAAAATCAGGAAATGTGTAACAGGGAACTGTACAGCAGTCCCCTAGAGAGAAGCCAGACTTCAAGTGTAATGATTCACCTATTGAACTTAGCTTCAGTGTTTGCCCATTCATCAGCAGGCTGGCACGGGTTCAACACTATACCAAGCCCTTCTGTTCAAGGGCTCTCCTGCTGCAGTTTGTGTAGCCATCCCAAAGCTACCTTTGGTCCAAAGTGGTGTATATTATCTTTTGCTCAGGCTTCCCGAGTTCGTCCTGGCATTTCTTCACCCTGAACTGACTTCTCCCCAGCTTGCAGTCCTCTCAATCCCTGTCTGCATTTTTCCTGTTTTTGAGCCTTACAAATAGTGTCCAGGTTCCAGGTGAACGCTGAATGCCATAGTTTCGACTTGAAAGGCATGACTGCCCATATGAATTAATGGAGAAATCCAAGATTTTAACATAGCAGTGATGGGGAACAAGCACATCAACCCCTAAACAGTGGTAAAGCGCAATCAGGGTGGGATTGCTGCAGTCTCTACTCCCCCACAGTATCCTCAAAGCAACCAGGACTGCTGCTTCCTCAGCCTCCTCCTTCCCCAGGATCCATGTGTTCATGTGTGTGCCTGCACAGGCATGCATGCTTGGGTCCACATCTGCATGCATGTGTTTGCTTAAGGATGTTCCTGCAGGCTTAA